TGATGTTCCCGCGCCCTCTCTGGATATCATAGCCCTCCCTATGAGGATGCAGTATGTACTAGTTTTGCATCTCAAAAAGGCGAGAGGATAGCGCCGTTCGCTAGTGAAGAGTCGGCCGCCCCGCCCACCTGGCCAGCATAGGGTTCTATATAGGGCATTTTCCATGATTTTTTCTGCTTTTTTCTTCACTACTGGATCACGTATTATATGAGCTCCATAACTCATTATTCTTGAAAGCGGGCTCAGCCTTTAAAGGCTAAGCCAAAGCAGTTATGGCAGCCAGGTGGGCGGGGCGGCATCCTCTCGTATTTTTGAGCTGCGAAATTAGTACATCCTCCACCCTTGTCGACAAAGCTACGATATCTAAGGAGGGCGTAGGAACATCAAATGAACGCGGGCGCTGCCTTTAACTGCCCCCTTAGTGACAGTGCGTAGCCCTGAAACCCTTTAGACCGTCCCTCTTGGACTACCCTCCAAAATACCCTGTTCTGTTGGGTACAAGGCGCAACCGTGTATAAGAAGCCCCTTCTCCCCAAACACCGCGGCTGTTTTTTCTCGCTTACTTTTTGCATTTTTCTTATTAGTACTAATCTACATATGTGGACGACCTATATTGAATAAGAAGTGTTTGAAAACCAATTACAATACCGGAATATTCAAAAAAAGCAAAAAGCCATGTCCAGAAAGTTTCTGGCTCGTCTATGCGACCTTGGGAATGAAGGCGCCCTCAGAAGAGAGCGGAGGTGGTGTGGAGCAAGCGGCAAGCGCGCAGTCCGAAGGCCAAATTCCGGATTGGCTGTTGCCCAGGCCAACCTAGCCCCTTCGGGGAAGCTAATTTGGTACCAGACTCGTCTGGAAGGATATGTGTACGTGCTGCAGAATTGATAAACGGCGAAGATTTCGTTTCGAGCCAAAGTTCCTAAGGAACGGGGCGTATTCGTAACCGTTATTCAGGATCGTACCGTCATCGCAGGATAAATAAGGAGTGATGATCTGTTTGGACTCTCAGCCGGATTAATTTGCAACCCGTGTACTGTTTCGAAACTATGAAGCCCTTGATCTACGATATCGTATGTGTTTGGGCGATAAGGCCGACGTGGAACAAAAAAAATTTTGATTCAAACAGAAATCGGACAAGAGTCATGTGGCAACCTAAATAGTTCCCATATATCAGCTCCTTCTCGCCTTATGATGTTTTGATATCACATTTGTAACGCTGAAAGCAGAGCCACTAATTAGAAGTTGCTCTGCTCCCAGCGCATTTTACTAACCAAACCATAAGCAGACACCTCGTGAACCCATAGATGTCTCTATCGGAAAATATCTTCTTCGTTCCCATGTTTTTTCTCAGCTCGTAGAACACTCTTCAACCTCGCTTTCTCATAGCATTTCTATGGCGATTGCCATTACCATTCCTAAGAAGATTTCCTCTGTCGATTAGAGCTGTTAGCAGGAGTTTTTTTTCAGGATGACTCAGAGCATCTGCTCGCCATCGACCGCTATCTGCACGAACACTCAGTTATGGACGAGTTTTTGCACCAGTCGATTCATACAATTGAATTCGTCCTTGGTTGTGTTTCTCATACAGCATCTTATCTTCGACTATGGGCTCTAAGTCTTGCTCATGCTCGTGAGTTTGATTTCTTTACTTGACGCTCCTAGGAAGACTTGAAGACACATTCCCGGACAATTGTATGAACAAAGAGCAGACCATAGCAACACCCAGGGCACGCCATCGTTGTGATAATCACAACGGGTGGTCGTATTTGACCGCGAGGGAGGGGGGTCGTATTTGGTCAGAGAAAAATTTTTTGATAGTTGATTTCTCTTGTTTCACGGACGCTATAAGGGGGGGTCGTATTTGCTCGTTGTTGGGAGGGGGTGGCATTTGTCTTCGAGAGGACATTGCGACGTTGGAGAAAACTTTCCCGGTTGTTGATTTTTTGCGGTTTTTCCCGTTTCAGTGGTGTTATATACCCCTAGTTGGTGGTGCCGCCAAGGTTCTACATAACCACTATTTCCAATAGTTGAAAATAGTGGTTAGTTCCTGACGACTCCCCCCCCCACCCTCGACAGCAAAATTTTTGGGAAAATGCTACAAAAAAAAACCGCGAAAAAGTTAATTAGGAATTTGAAATTGGGTAGGTTAGCGGTGGAGCGAGGGGGCGGTCCTCACTGTTTAGAGGATGGAATTAGGGGGGGAGGGTCGTATCGTGCAGCAATTCATCACAACGAGATGGCAGCTGACCTGCGCGAACCAACAAACAACACTTTACTCACCACTTTACTCATTCGTGCTCCCCCTCATTGTGGTGAAGAGGGAAGATAGCAATGAAGAATGCACAATGGTCACGAGTCTCAGTCCACCCTATCATCGCGGAACGTGTCTTTAGGTTCCACTGGATAATTTAACACTGCCTTGGCTTCTTGTACATCTGTAAACTCTCGTAAAGAGTGTGTAATAGCAAGAGCTTCATTTACACCTGACAGAAGTCTACAGGGTGTTGTGTCAAAAGAATTCAAAGTGTAATTCAAGGGGAACTAGCAAAAGAAACTATGCAAAATTGCAAAAAACAAAAAAAAATTGTCCTTCCCCCTCTAAACACGGAAACACACAAACTCATATTCGGATCCTACTGCCCACGGCTTGAATTTAGGCACTTAGGCATTTCAGCGACTGATCTGGCCTCTTTCCTCGAAAGAAATATAATGATTTTGAATATTCTCCAGCTTCTCTCTTGCTGTAACCTCGGCATCGTTGTTCAGTTTCGTTAATATTGCTATGCCTCTTGAGGTTTTTAGGTGGAATCTTTATTCAACGGCCTAACGTTTCGACAGGGTCGTCTTCTTCAGAGGCCTAAACGTGTTTCGAGTTAAGGAGATGAACACTACCCCGTCAAGCGCCCAACCAACCCTAGCAGTTCCGATGACGTGTTCGGAACTAAACAAGAAAATTCTACACAATACAAAATGTGCACTCACCAAAACTCAACTTATACGTATAAGGAGATTCTAGAGTAAGCCTCATTTGCTACTGACTAACATCCGCATGTGACGCGGATTCACGGTGGAGTTCTGGTGAGTGCACATTTCGTATTGTGTAGAATTTCTTGTTGAGTTCCGAACACGTCATCGGAACTGCTAGGGTTGGTTGGGCGCTTGACGAGGTAGTGTTCATCTCCTTAACTCGAAAGTTTAGGCCTCTGAAGAAGACGACCGTGTCGAAACGTTAGGCCATTGAATAATAAAGATTCCACCTAAAACCTCGAGAGGCATATCAGTATTAACGAACTGAATAATGATTTTGAGTTTTCGCTGGTCCAGGTGTTTACATTTGTTGCAAACTCTGTCCCTCGATCGTAAAAGCAGCCTGTCAGAGGTGTCGAAGCGGTGGTGTTGACCGGCGCTGGTAACGTGGACTTTTAGCAGGTTGAACCAAACAGTTGCAACTATACTTTCGTTCCGGGCGAAAGTCAGAAGATTCGAGCCACAAAAGAGCGCGATTGACATGCGGTAACGTTTGCGCTTCATAGTATCCAAAACTGATTTATTTCAGAGTTATCTGAAGTTTTATGGGAAATGGTCTTGATTCGTGGACTTTCAGCTGGAGGAAATCTCATCACTGCCTCAATCATGTCCTATGTGGTATGTTTTCAGTGACTGTTCTGAAAATAAATGATTTTAGAAAATGATCTGGGTAATGCAGGGATAACTCTGACCTTCAGTTCGGAGAAGGGGAGGAAAATTCCGTGGAATGAGGGGTCAGAGTCAGAGAGGGAGAGAAGAAACCGTACTCAGTTCCCCGTCTATTATTCTTTGGAGGGTTGGTGATATGAAGCCGTAAGACCATCTATAAATAATCCGTGTTGATTGGTTACTCGTAACTGTACCCCTCAATCAGCTTGCAATGGTCTGGGAGGGGGGTCCTTTACAGATTAATATCAAGTCTTGACCTACGGGAACAGCAAAAGGCCAAGCCGCCTTTCGTTAGCTGTCCCCTTCTAGTAAACCTAATTAGTAAAGCTCTGTCGCTTTAACGCTTGCCACTACTCTTAGTGACAGCTGTACAACTAGTGGGTAGTCCTATCTCAGCTTATTAGATCCTGATTCAGTGTGATACATACTTGAGGACAAGACCACTTTGTCGGCATCTGCATACCGCATG